ATAGATGGAGCCCTTTAAAATCAGCGAGAACCCCAGGGACAAAGACTAGAGCTTAGCTCTACAGTTTTACTAGCTATGCGATTACTGCATAAGGTATTCCACTTCTGGTAGTCCACCACTCCGCACAATTGCAATGACACCTGTTTCACCTGACTCAGAGAGCTACAGCAGGAAGTCTCTTTTCAGAATTAAACGGCAATGAAAATGGAAGTGCTAGGTAAACCATAAGGCAGAATACAGATAAGAATTCTACTGAAAGGGTTACCTTGAATTTGTACCCTACGGATTCACTTTTTAAGAAAAATCTTACATTAAAAGTATCTCTTAAAAGAAACTTCAGGCATTGGAGAAAGTCAATTCTAGACCACAACACAACCCTAACTTTACGAACTTGCAAAATTTACAAATCATTCTGTATGATAATCTATTTTAATAATGGATACGAAACATTATCAAATTTCATTCAGCCAAATTACCGAAAGAGAGAAAGGGGCGGGGGGAGGTGGGTGTAGTTTCCATTTGCCAAAGTTGTAACAATGGGAAAATTTCAAAACAATTTTAAAGAAATAATGTGCTAGTAAAGTAGGAAAGCTCACTGACTTTGGTATCTACTGGACAGTAAAAGAAAGATCTGCCATCAAAGTCTAAGGCTTTGGGCTTTTTCTTTTTCTTTTTTTTTTTTTCAAATCTGAAGCAGAGAGGGGACTCAGATTACAGGATAAAGAACACCACTGGCTAGTACTTTAAAGACCAGAAGAAAAATCGCATCATCTTATTGCACTCATCAGCCTAGAACAGAAGGTGATGAGACAAAACCATACATACACACCAACATTATTCCATAAAAAATGACACAGACACTCAACATGGTGAAAAAACAAAGCAGTAAAAATATACATGGGCTCATAAGGATATAGTAAAGGACAGAAAAAAGGATTTGGAAGTGCAGGGGCATTCCAAAACACACAAGTTGTTGAAAAAAATTTTTTGATGAAAAATGAGAACAATTGTAGTGAAATAAAAGGACCCTAAGGCCTAAGGAGCTACTAACAGGGAAAAAAAGCACACCCCACTTAAAATGTGCCAAAGCCACACAGAGAAAGTTATTAGCAGAATACCTTATAAAAGAAAATTGTAACACATGGTATCACGTAAATATAAGTCGATGTGGAAAACACGTGGGTACTTTTCCTATTTTCACAGTCAGAATTTAAAAATGAGAAAGCAAACCCCAGAGATTACAGACATAATACCTATATTATGGTGAGAAATGTAAGTGCTAACTTCAAGGTAGCAGTGGTTAAACAAATCCTGGGCTAAAAGCTCAAGGAATGGACAGAGGCAGTAAAAGTAATTTAAACACGTACACTGCGCTGCAGAACCACACAACCTAGCAAGTCGATGAGAAGCTCAAATCTGTGTTGCTGTGGTTTAACTGTCACAGTAAACATCACTGAGGACCTACTGTGTGTCAGGTGTCCTGCTGGATGCTGTCTGGAGTGAAGGCATGACTCAGGCAGCCCCTGCCTCCAAAAGGTCCAAGTCTACAGAAGGAGACAGGTGCATATGCAAGTAAATCTACTAGAGCTAGTTGTGAAGGGGATGGTATGAGATGAATGGAGGTTATGAGGTGCAGCAACATCCTCACTAGACTGTAACACAAGGTCCTGGATAACCCGGGACTCAGAGGGGACCCGAGGTCTGGTGCCCACTTGACCATGAGCAGGCCGTGCATCTCCAAGCAAATCACTCACATAGTCTGCACAGCACTTCTCACCTTTACACCAGAAAAGGGTGGACTGCATGATTTCCATCAGTTCTAATGCTCTGTCTTTGTGGCTGAGGTTCCTGGAAGCCAGGCTCTGAATTAAGCTATGAATATAAAGACTTGATGGGCTAGAAATTGAAGGCAAGTGTGTACGAGAGGCCAAGAATAGCGTGAGCTGAGGCACGAGATCTTAGCATCGTCAATTCACCCTGTAAATAAAAACTGTGTTACCTACTACCTGGGGATTTCACTAATGGTACAGAACATTCTAAATGGGCCAAAAAAAAAAAAGAAAGAAAGAAAGAAAAAGAAAATAGATATAAACTTCAGAAATGTATAAAAAATTAAACAAAAAGTAACATGAATTATAAAAACATTGAGAGCAACAGAGGATGCAGTAACATTTAAATTAAATATAAAGTAAGCAAATCTTACACCTCTAACAAATACCATGTCATAATATATAGCAGATGAAGAGACAGAGCTACATTTTAAAAAGTCTGAATATCCATGAAACTTTACCCATGTTTGTCTTTAAAATGTATTTATGCAAGGGAAGTTTCTTCCTTCACGTATTCAAAAAAGGTTATATTAAAAGAGAGAAAGAGATCGGCAGAATTGCAAGAATCAACTTCAGAAATTAAATGAGACTGAGTTGCTTCGAATGAGGATGCCACATTCAAAACTGTTTATTGCAAGAGAAGAATTACTGAGCAGTGCACTCACCCATCCAGCCATCCGCCACCCATCCAAATATATATACACATAAGAACATACAGACATACATTTGACCACACACAATCATTCCTACTAAAAACACAGTAGCATAATAAGAGCCAAGAGGAACAGAAGGATGAGTGAGAAACCATGTCTTGTTGCTTAAATGGGGAAACAAAGCTTACATTCTTATAAGGAAGTAGGGAAGTATCACCATCATATGGGGCCACATATGCCATGAAGACAGGGACCAGCAGGACAGCACACTGCGTGAGGATGGCAGCCTCACTTGGGAAACCTAGTCACAAAACCAGAGAGCATGTCACCTCTCTTCTCTAAGCCTCCATTACTTTATGTGAAAACAAAAGCAGTTCTTAGGGTTAGAGGAGGAGATATTAAAATGACAATGAAAAAACAGAGTGCCTCCCATGGAATGTGTAGTCACAAGCGGCAGAGTAAGAGCAGGAGGAACATCAAAAGAAGTAGAAGCGTGATAGCATAAGGTGCTCGTGGAAACCCAGGGAAGGGAGTTGTCACCTCTGATCTGGGCCATGTCTGGACACTGGGGAAGGCGACACAAGCAGGGTTTTGATAGGTGACAAAAGGCTGTGGGTGGCAAGTAAAGAAAGAGTTGAGCAAAGAGCTGCAGAGGATCAAAGAGGGCGCCAGTGTCCCCAGAGAACACGCCAGGCAGTGGGAGAGCCCTGCGTGGTGCGGTGAAGAGGATGGGGCATCTTAATGCCGGAGGAGTCAGCCAGGGGGCCAACCCACCACACAGTTCACAGCAGTCGGAGCGGAGGGGCCTGAAGGGCGACCATAGTCTGCTTCTCTCCTCCCTCTTACACAGGCCCTGCCCCACCCTGACCCTCGGGTGTGCACTGACTGTCATACCCACTAAGCCTTCCTCACACGTCTGCCTCCTTAGGACACTCTGCCCTTATTCCCTTCATGTTAGAGGAAGTCCATCTTAGCTCTCCCCAAAAATGGGGAGACAACGTAACAATCCCCTAGTAAGGAGACCAGGGAGACACGGAGAAAACAGATGAGGAAGCCAACAATGGCTCCTCCTGTCTTGTTTAGAGGGGCTCTCTCCCACATCCCAGCCCTGAGCCCCGCGATCGCTAAAGAACAGCAAGGCAGAGGAAACCAGTTCTGCCAAGCCCCTGACTAACTGCAGCGGTGCGGGCTCCCGCGAGGCCGACGAAGCTGCAGGGACCCGCGCGGAGCTGCGCAGAGCCACGGGCCGCATGGACTGCTCCCCCAGAGCAGCCTGGCGGGCTTGTCCTCGCCCTCTCCAGACAAAGCAGACCCCAGGTCCACGGCCACAGCTCAGGGCGGCATGCCGACGCCTGACCTCCTCCCAACCACCTGCCTAAGGGTCCAGCCACCTGACACAAACTACACATCTGGACTAGGTCTCGGACATCGGTCCTAAAATACTAATAGACTGGAGAAGTGTTCACTGTGGGTGGGGAGAGGAGTAGAAAGAAAACAGAGAGACTGAACTGTATCACAGAATGTGAAACAGTCACATGCAAAATCGCTGAAACAAACGCACGAAAGTCATCCGAGGAGTAAGAGACATCTTGGAGAGGGTGAGGTGATTGTTTTAAAAAGTAGGATGGGGGAGAAAATAGAGAGAGGGGGGCTGAATCTTCTTTCACCACCTCTTCTCTCAGCAACCAGAAGGCTAACGACCTACTGACAGCTGTAAGTTAGTGTTTCACAGGTTTGGATGAGCTGCCGGCACTGATAGGTAAAAATATGGAACCTCTTCAACCAGAGTACAGCACCCTTTACGTTGCCTGTGGGGTCCACCGTGTGGCTGTGCCCATGCAGATACACCGGGTGTGCTGAGATCACGGAGGTCCTCAAATCCCCCTTGATGTAAAATGTACCACCACTACTAAGCCCCTAAAACTAGGCTTCACTCAAAGTTCTCTGAGTTTCAACACACAGAGCCCTGCAGACGACTTTATGCCACAGTAGCCTACGAGTGGAAAAGTAACCAGAGAAGGCAGCACAATTCTGGGTGCCTTACTCAGTTCGCTTCGTATGGGTTTCCCATCAGACCACTGCTTGGTAGCATTTGGGGACCCTCGTCCAATGGCAGTGGGGGGGTGGTAGACACTTCTACAAGACAGTGGGACAGGGATGGAGGATACAGCAGCAGAAGGGCACTGAGCTACGAATGGAGAGAGGGGGGTTCTAGGTTTAGCTCTGGCCCCAACTCACCATAGTCACATAATCCCTGAGAGGTCTCAGTCTCTTTATACCTAAAAGAGTTGCCTAGACAGTTACTAGGTGTTCTTCCAACTTTGAGAGTCTATACTTTTTGACAGCCACACTGCAAACTCTTGAGCTACCTTTCCCCGACACAACCAACCACTTTAATCACGTTGTACTACAATATAATAGTACACATCACTTTTGTTAAGCAAATTGTATATAAATCACTTTTATTATATTGAACTCTCCCATCAGGGGCACCCACCTCCGCAACCCTCACACTCACCTTCACCACCAGGTTGCTTGTATGGGTTGTACTTGGGCTTTGGAGCAACGACTGGGGCAAACTTCTTGGGTGGCTGCTGTGTGGACACTGAAATGCTGGGGGTCCCAAAGGAATGGGTGGTCTCCATCCGTGCAAGCACATGGCCCAAGGGCTCAGCAGTGCTTTTGGGTGGCAGCCAAGATGGGTGCGACATTGTGCAATCTAGAATTAAAAAGGAATAAACACGGTTGTTTTTGAAGAAAGACGAAAAAATGAAGGCAACATACTTCACATCGTTGTTACCTCTTCTTTATCCGTACTTAATGAAACCTTGAAAAGCACTCTGATAACAGGAAGCGAGAAGATGAAGGAAGGAAGAAGGAGGGAAGTTATGAAAAACCTGCCTTAACTGGAGGAAAAGAAAAATTGAACACTCCCCTCAACCAACCTTGAATACGTCTCTCCCCACAGTTAGCAAATAGCTGCCCTAGCATTCTTCAGGAAACAGACGTGAGTAAGAAGTGGTCCCCAACCTAAAGAAGCTTCTATGGTAGGAGAATCTTATATGAGCAAGGTTGGCAGAAAGCTTCAATTTTATTAATAATCTATTAAAATGATTCCCACATCAATATAAGTTACCCAAGGGAGGTGGTATTATCTAAATGAGGTCAAAAGTAAATAAAAGTGTTTCTGGAATGTAGAAAAAGATAAGGTCACTTCTTGCTCAGAGCAGAACTAAGGCCTCATTAATGAGGCGACCGTTAGACCGAGCCTTGAGTGCTGAGTACAGGTCGGGCCTGAACAATGTTGGCAACGTTGCATGCGCAGAAGAGTACACGGCACTCAAGTTGAGTGTGGCTGGAGGGGGAATACAGAAAAGGAGCAAGCAAAAGAACTAAAAATGGGGGGGGGGGAGTGCAACCAAAGCACAGCTTTGTGCACAAGCCTGAGGAGTTTGGATTGAGTTCTGCAGGCATTAAGGAACCATCAAAAGCTTCTTCTTGAAATAACGACACAGCAAGTGCATGGCAGGACACTTTACAACGATCCCTCTGGCAGGAGCAGTGCTGCTCCTCACCGAGGAGCACTGGAAATTGGGGGGAGAGGACACTGCCACAACACCTGGGATGAGTACTGGTATTTAGAGCCCAGGGGCTAAAATTCAACCCCTATAATACAAGGGCATCCCACAGGACACCCATCAGGAGCTATTTTAGCTGATACCATACTGGACCCTTAGGAAAATCTGAACTAGGAAGGGGATAAATGAGCCAACCCAGATGCTGTTCTACTCAGATTAAAATACACTCCGTGAGGAAAAAAAATGACATCTTGTGTCAGGGTAAGCCAACCACCCCTCCAGACAGCCTGCAGGCTGGAGCTGAGCCTCAAAGACTGCCGCTCAGGAGGGCTCTCCAAGTCTGATTGCAAGAGCTCTCCAATGCAGGGAGGCCCGGAAGGCTCCCTCACCCACTCCCAGCCCCAAATCCACCCAGTAATTTATTAATTGAACTGAATTAATTGAGAGGGCTCCATGATTACCTCCAGATGTCTATAATGACAAAGAGAACTGGAAACGCAGGAGAAAATAAAGTCCTCGGCACATGGCAGGGCCATGGAAGGAGGGGGTGAAGGGGGAGAGATGGGGCCCAGTGTTGCCTGGGTAGCGCTAGGCCACAGCAGGAGGGTGACATGCCCTTGACAGCCCCGCTTCCTTCATCTGATGCACCAGCTGCCTCCACTCCTTGTCCTCCTGAACTCAAGTTTTGTAACAACCAATGAGATAACAACACTAAACTGTTTCATATACTGTCAACTGCTAAGCAAAGTGAGCAGAGAAGAACTGTTGGAGGTGTAGGTTTCTCAATGAAAGAGGATGACAGGAATCAGTGAGGAAGACTCTAAATTAGGAATCAGAAGGGTTCTGTCACCTAAGCCAGTGGTGACACTGGCTTTTCACTCTGGTCACAGGGCCTTCTTTTCTCTTCCTTCCCCGTACCTTGTAGACACCTGGTCAACTGAGAGTCTTTTGGAAGCATGGGGACTGTATTTTATACAGCCTTAAACCCATATGGAAAAATAACCATGAATCTGGTTAACTTCTGGTTCTTAAAACTGGCTGAATATTTAGAATTCTTTGAGTTTTTTTTAAATCAATATCAAAAACAAGCCCATCTCTCAAGGCTGAGAAACAGCAACTTTGGTTTTATTTGCTTGCTTGAACCTCAGTCTTCTAAGAAAGGGATAAAGTGTCTGTCCGACTGTCAACAAGACTCAGGTGAGTATCAGTGGAGAACAAGTAGGATGAAATAAACACTTGGAAATGTGAATGCACCACGCACATTTGTAGTGGAAAGTTTATTGGTAGATTTTTTAAATGGGTTAGTATTATCCTTGCAAATTTTCCATAAATCTAAAGTTATTCCAAAATAGAAACATTAAAAATGGTTTAATATAGGATACAGTGACTTCTGAAGCAAAGAGGCACATTTCCAGAGCAATCTCACATTGCCAATCGACTGTAGAATCCTGGCCTTTTCAGAAATTCCATACATATAAAGGAACAGGAAACTTCCGGGAAAGTATGAAAAATGAAAACGTATGCATCCATATGCAAAGCATAGCCTCTATCATATTTTCAGCTACCCCCAGCACCATATATTACCCCTGCGACACTGCACTCGCCCTGCAGGCAACTCCAGTGACATCTCCAGCATGTGCCAGGGTGTGGCCAAGAATCTGCCCCACTTGACCTTAGCAGCATCTTTTCATACCATTCTTCTTATGTTAACAATGACCCAGTGACACCATTCCCAGGATTTACAAGGAAATTTGATGCCCCTGAATCTTTGCTCATGCTGTGCCCACCATATACAATGCCATATACCTCCCTTCACTTTCTACCAGATTCCACTTTTTTTTTTATCTTGACCCAGCTCAAATGACCCTGATGCTGTGAACATTTCCCTAACTCTCTCCAAAAAGAGTAGCTTAACTCCCAGGCTCTTCTAGTACTTGTTCCATACTAACAGTCCACACGTAAGCTAGGTATTCACCTGCTCATCTGCCCCAACAAACTGGAAGTTCCTAAGTGCTCTCACTATACCAGCACAGTGCCTGGCAAGGAGGCCCTCAGAGAAATATGTTACGCATGAATGCGTGAATGAATAAATGTTGATCTCCTTGGTTACTCTTCCCTTTCTCGAATCTGTGTATCTCCCTTCTTAGCATCCACTGACACTATCATCCCTTTTACCCCTCTCTTAATTTAGGGGTGAACTGAATCACGTTCATAGACTTCCAGGTATTGAACCATCTTTGAATTCCTAGCAATTAATCCTACTCGGTCACAGTTGTAATGTTTCGGTAAATGGATGAATTAAATATGCTCTTTTATATAAAGTTTTTGTACATATACTCATTGGTAAAGATCATTAGTGGTTTTTTCTCCACTTGTTTTACTTATCATTGTTAGGTTTTGATATGGCAGTTCTGCATCCTTTTCTAATGTTTGGATTAGTTTAATGATGAGATTAGAACTATCTGAACTTTAAAGGTTTATCAGAATTCAGTGGAAAGCCACCTAGGTGTGTGACTTTAATAACAGAGCTGAATTGTATTTCCAACAACTTCTACAATAATTGTAGCAGTTTTATACTTCTTTTGAGATCATTTTTCAGTTTTATATTCTGCTGGAAATTCATCCATTTCCTCTAGGCTTTACTTCTATTCCCTTCATCCAAGCTAAAATGTAAAATGATGTCTCATCTACTATGCATCATTTGGATCCTGAGCATCAATTCCCACTAGTCCTTAAAGGCAAAATTCACATTCTCCATCCTCCAGTTCAAGTTATGTACCCTTTAACCACATTTCCACAGCACCCGGAACACTGCTGTCATTACACTCATCACATGTCACTCTGTCTCTCTGCTTGCCTATCACAAAATTAACTCTTAAATTCTTGAGAGCAGAAGTAATTATCATTCTCTAATCAGGGCCCAAAACATGATATGCACTCAATAAAAATGTTTGTTATTCATTCATTATTTATTCATTCAGTCATTTATTCATTTATTCCTAGCACTGGAACTCAAGATGAAGCAAAGTCTCATCCCGTACTCAGATAAATCAGATTGTCATCCTGTATTCAAGGAATATAATGCTTATCTGAGGAAGACGCATTTCTTCTATGTAAAAAGAGAGTAACACACGGTATACCCCTACCCCCAACAACAACAACAAAACACCAACTGCGATTCGTCGCAGGATCCCAGCACGGGGGTTGTCATTAGCAAGGACTCTGAAAGCCGGCTGGCTCTGAAGGATAAATGGAACAAGCAACAAGGATCATGCCTAAAAATACTGTGAACTGAAGGGAGAAGCAAAGCATTTCTGTGGGACAGGGAGCAGGCCAGTTCTATCAAAATGAGGGACTCAAGAAAATACTGGGGGAAGAGATTGGGAAGATTAAATGAGCTTTACTTTTTAAAGGTCTTATACAGAGAAGTAAGAAGCTAGAATTTTTATCTTTGAACCAGGAATCTAACAGGAGTGAAAACTCTACGTAAGAAAAATAAATCCATGCAAGATGGACCCAAGGAAGGTGATAAATGCAGTTGAACAGACAGAGAGTCCCTGCGACCCCAGTTCCAGTTGCAGCTTTGACAGTGTGACCTTTAACAAGAGAGGATACTCATTTGCAGAATGAATGTAAAGTCCCCATCAGCTCTAATATTCTGTAGCACTTTCCTTCCTTGTAATCTTAATTACAGCCCTTCATTTTGATAAATGTGTTTGAGAAAACCTTACAAGTTTAGTGAACGGACAAACTAGAACATTTCCCTGGGGTTTCTCAGCTTCTCAGAAAGAGACCCATTGTAAACACAAAGACAAGCACTGGTGAGAGCTAGTTTTGCTGGACCAAAACTTACCCTGCTCTTACTTCCTCTGGTTCTAGATTGGTTTCACTCTAAGCTTATAATCATCATGAAAGCAAGAAGTGAAAGGGAAGATCTCCACAGGGGCTCTGAAAATGCACAAACACCATCAGAAGAGAGGAAAACAAGAGAAGTGGCCCTCAGCTAAGCAAGATGCCTACAACCGAAGCGAGTTAAAGAGCTGGGGCTCCCGAACCGCTGGTCTTTCAGGAACTGTCATCAGATGCAAAGCAATTAAGAAGAACCTAAGAGGTTTCACTTTTTGCCGCTCTGTCACTCTTC